CCCCCCCCCTCCCGTAGTCGACTTAGCTTGTCGGTGAGTTATCTCCGAAACTAAGGCAGATGGCGAATTTTTACTAAAAAATTGGGGTGCGGAGGGTTGTATTGAATTCTCAATGTATAGCCCCCAATTTTTAATCTCGGCCGCATTTCTTCAGTTTAATCTGAAAATTTTCTAAAATTAAGAAAAATTCACACAGAGAAAAAAAGTCTATTAGCTTTAGAAACTAATTTCTAGCTTTTAGAAACTCCTGTTCTTAAGCTTTATCCTTGGTGGGATCATAAAAATTAATCAATTTGGGGATTCTTTTTAAGAACTAATATTTTCTAAAACCAATGCTGAATTTTTCGTACTTTTAGAAAATTTTCAGATAGAACTAAAAAATTCCGGTCGAGGTATTTACAGGGCGTAAGTGCTCCATACATAAGGAGGGGTGCCGAAATATCGGGAATTTCAGATGTGCCGTGAGAGGATTTTGCGAAGAGGGGGAGGGGAGAGGGTTGTGAATTGAGAATTTACAACCAAAAAAATTAAGTTGGCGAGTTTTTCAAAAATATCTCCAAAACTAAGGAAGATAGCGATTTTTTACTGAAAAAGTGAGGGGGGGTTCTCTTTTTTTTTTTCAATTTGTCCAAGTTACAAATTTTCAAAATTTTCAAAATGCATTGGAAATTTTTAAAATTTTTGAAATTTTTGAAATCTTCGAAATTTTCTAAATTGAAAAAAAAATGAGAACCCTCCATCCCACTTTTTCAGTAAAAATTCCCTATCTCCCTTAGTTTCTTAGATATTTTTGAAAAACCCCAACGATAACCCACCCTGTCATAAAACACCCCTGCAAAACCCGCTTCTTTACAAGCCCTCCTCCCCCTGCCCCTCTTTTTGCAAAATTCCACCCCGAAAATTAAAAAAATTTTCTAGATTTTAGAAAATATTTCTTCTAAAATTAAGTATATTTTAGTTTAAAATTGATCCCAATTTGGATCGGTAATTTTAAACAATTTTTTTCTAAAACGTAGAAAAAAGTTTCTAGATTGTAGAAACCTGCAGGTTAGATACCACCGTTTCTGAAATTTCGAAACTTTTTTCTAAAGTTAATCCACTTTTTTTCTCCGTGTGAACCAAACCGAAAATCGGTCTGAATCACACCGAAAAATCGACTTGAATCAAACCGAAATATCGACTTGCATCAGACCGAAAAATCAACTAGAATCAAGTCGCTATATACTACCTGAAACAGGCAGAATTTTTGGGTGAATCACTCCGTTTTTCGGTTTGATTCAAGTCAATTTTTCGGTTTGGTTTAAACCGATGTCGGCTGGACCCGTTTCTACTTAAAATAAACCACTTTTCGACCATTTTTGTGTGTGAAATATTTTTTTAATAACTTTTATATTTTTTCCATATATTTCAAGTCTTCTTCTATTTTTCTAGCTTGTGTTTTGGATAATTGGAAAATAATTAATACGGACAGAAAAAGTGACAACGTCGTGCCGTTTAAGGGACAAGTTGACAGCACTGATTCATTCAGCTGTTATATTCCTTCCCATTGCGAAATATATCATCGCAACTCCAGTCGTATTTGTCGCGCTTACCTTTCCATGATTTATAACCTCGACGCTCTCGCTATTCCAAGTTGCACACGCAGGATTCCTATTTTTTATGAATTTTTTAATTATTCCTTCTGAAGGATTCCCCTATGCCACTTGGATCATTTTTTTTATGGTCCTCCATGAAAACTCTACCCAAATGCGAAACTTCAGAAAAATGGCGACTTTTTTTTCTATTTTTAACATATTTTTCTTCCGAATTCCCATAAGAGCCCGTGTTAAATAGACTATTTTGTCATAAGGCCGAAAAAAACGTTTTCATCACACTGTGTGAAAAAGTAACGCGAAGCGTGTCTAAAACGTTCCGTTTCCATACATTGTGATGAAAAATATCGTTCGATACTCATGGGAATAAGTGTTTTTTGGCTCGTGGGATTATATCACTCGCTGCGCGTCCCCGAATCGGTGCCTTACGGCCGGAATGACAAAAATGCATTTTTTAGAAAAAATCCTATTTAACCCATTCTCCTAGGATATCTGGGATTTTACATAGGGGTTTTGAAATGATCGAAGAATGTATTTTTAAAAATCATCAACTTCTTGACTTTTGTTCAACTCCCCTGACTACGCCATAAATACCTTAAAATCAGTAACATGGTTCTAGAAACTACTGAAACTACAAAAAAAAAGTTTTTTTTTAGTAGAAACTTTTTCACTCTGTAATATAGTGTCCCAAATGCTGGGAAAATTGTTCACATTAATATGACAAGGTTTTACCATTGTTGGTACACAAAAGACGTGGCAGAAGTGGCTACGACTCGCATGGTCCTTCGTGATGTAGGCAAAGTGAGTAAGATCATCTGCATCTTGACAAGCGCAGTGGATGTTGCGGATTTCGTGGTCACAGATTGGTTCCTGTTCATCAAGTGTGGAGGACCAAAATTTTATTAAAAAAATTCCTTCATCGGTGGCTGAATGACATGCACTTCCATATTCTGACACTTATATCACAATGCTATCTAATTACTGAATTATCTGTTGTGAATATTGACTGGAGAAAAAAGATTCCTTACATTTGTGACAGAGTCCAGGAACCGAACACCCCTGTAAGAAATTGCAAGAGTGATGCCTAAACTGACCCTTGGATCTCGACAAGTTTTCTTCAGCTTCTGAATAGATTTTTTGGTCGATTCTGTACCGCGAAGTTCTTTGACAACGGTGGAACCCAAGTACTATCATACAAAAAACAACAAAAATATTTATTTTTTGGTTATAAGGGCGTTTAGGACAGATTTTTATACCGTGTGAATTTTCATTTTTCACCCCGAATCTTATTGATTATTATGATTATGTTGGTGTCAATTTTGATCCCACTCATTACTTAGCTTTGAAATTAAAATATAGTTCGTGCGTCGATCCCGAAAAATGGTGCTGACTTGTTTTTATCCTTTTCATTGTGGAATCAGAGTCGAAATTCATTCAAATCATTGTACTGTACAAGACCAAAACAACAAGAGCTTCTAATCTACTCTCTTTAATCGTTTAGGAATGACAGAAAATAATGACTAAGTGATCGCCGTTCGTCCAGGGGACGTTTACGAAACCTAATTTTGTCTCATTTTTGCTTCCGAATTAATGGATGCATTGTATTCGTCAAATCTGAAATTTTCAATTTTTTGTGACAGGATAACTAATCTTGGCCTCGGGAGCTCGAATATACTATTTTTACACCATGTTTGGACGTATATATATATAAATACCCTTTTCAAGGGTAATCCAAAATGACCGCGAAAGGGGCATTAAAATTTTTGAATTATTAATAATAATATTTTGGTAGTAAAAATTCAGGAGTACCAAGAAATTTGGATTCAACACTTCAAAAACTATACTGTTAAAAATTGTTGTCTGAATTTTACGTGCCAAATTCCGGAAATTTTTATGGTGTTCAAGTTCCACTGGAATTTCAAAAAACCTTGCCATTGAAAAATCAAATATTCCATTGATTTTCAGTTGAAATGATCTGGAAATCAATAAAATGCTTAATTTTTCTTTCTAATTATTCTGCGAAAATTCAGAAAAAGCACGAAAATTCAGCGAAAAATTGAATATTCATGTTCCATTGAAAATTCAATCAAGTTGTGACATTTCCATCTCACTCCCACTGAAAACTCATGAATTTCCACGAATTCTACTTAAAACTTGAAATTTCATAACCATTTTTTCCCTACATTCGATTCAGTGTCACTCTCAAATTTCAAAAAATTTCTAATAGTGTATAGTAAAAGTTTTGTTGCAAATATTTTTCTCCAAATGTATATTCAACCCTCCTCAGCGTATACACTATACCCGCTTTTGTAAAAGTCGGACTAAGACACTAACTGGGCAATAGAGTGGGGACAGCCAATTCTTACGGAAAGCGCCTGCAGTGGTGAAAACGCTCCTCACAAAAGAGGGTTAATAAACATAAAACAAATATATGGGTCCATAAAATCATTGAAAGACTTACATTGGCAACGTATTGCACATTGCCAGTGACTAGAGCCTTGGGCTGATGTCGCCACTGCGTCTTCAGCGTCGTTGGAACTCCAAAAAGCAGCTCCGAAGGCGCCCGAATCTCTAACTGTTCAGGAGCCACATTACCATTATGTGAAGTAGGACGTTGAGGTGGCTGAGGCGCTGGCCTATTCTTCCTATGTCTCAATGTCCCCGAAGTCGCTGCATTCGTTCCCGTAACAATCGTCTGACTCACATTACCATTATCCTGCGGACTTTCTGGCAATTTTTCCCTAATCTCCTCTTTCAACTGCTGGATATTACTCTTCTGAAACGCATCCAATAATTTTCGATTTAAAAAAAAATTTATTATAAAACCATTGAGATTGGGAATGATGGAGGTTCTATGTGTGCGTCGAATTGCTCCACATGAACGATCAAACCTGTTTGAGACCATTATTTATACCTGAATGTATCTATTCAAGAAATCAGAGCCCACGATTTCAAGTAACGAGGGACAAGAAATGGCCGGGACTCCCTTCAACAAAAACTACCACATGGGGGCCCATGAAACCGGATACGGTTTGAACGGAGGGGAATACAGAAAGGATTGCTCGATGGTATTTTTTTAGAGATCGATGATCGTATCAGTGAGGATTTCACCAGAAACAAAATGCCACATTATTTTCAATGAAAAAAATCTAATTGGGAAGTCATATTAATGACTGATGAACCGCGCATTTTATGATGCCCATGCCAACTGTAATACGAAATGGATTAAGTAAACGCAGCATTGAACAGCGTTTTCGAGAATTATTAGTGAACGTTTTTTGTAATGGCAAAGAAGGGCTACAGAAAAAGCAAGAGATCCATACAATTCTGAACTAAAATAATCAGATGAAAAAAATGTAGTATTTTAATTAATTTTGGTAGGTGACAGGTTAATGAAGATATTGCGATGTCTCTTGACTAGGAAACTTGATGTCAAGACGGTGGAAAAGGATTTCTCGTTTTTAGAAACAAGTTACTGATTTAAAAAAGAAACTCATGGTTCTAAAACGCATTGTATTGAGAATATGACGTCCGTCAAAAAATGCATTAAAATACATTTTTCATAATTAATTTTCATCATGAAACTCAATATTCCGACATTTTTACAAACACATATCTGTCCCATGAGTCAAATAGGAAAACTCACAAGAGTCAAATATAAGGATTACGAGGGTCAGATATGACAAATATTAAGGTTCAAATGGACAAATCATGTATTTTCATTAAAATTGTTAAAATTCAATACTTCAGTTTAGTTCAAAACCAAACGAAGAGATAACACCCGTAAACACTTAGAATGTAAGATATGGATCAATAAATTAGAATACCTATGTTGAAAAGAATAGGAACGATTAAAATTAAGAATTAAAGTATGAATAAGAATTGATTACTGCAATGAAAGTACAATTAGAATCATTATGAAAAATTAAATCCATCAATTAGTAAAACGTAAACAATTCAAATTCAAATTAAGTATGGCGAAATTCACATAAGTATGATGAAATAAAGCAAGCGGAAAGAACGCTCATCAAGATATTGATCGAAGCCGAAACAACCACTACAATTAATTTTTTGGTGGGGACATCACACATAGATACTACCCCTACTTTGGCTAATTCAGGTGAGAAAGAGCTACCCCTTCCATCCAATTCAATAGCTCCGCCCAAAAGAATAGGCCACATGTGTCCATGAACATCGGATCCTTCAACGGTCATTTGGAGACATTAAAGTCATAATTAAAATGTCACCCCGCCTAATAAAATTCGTGGATTGACAGCAGAAGTGACAAGTTTATGGGCTCCTTATGGTACAGGATATCCAAAAACTGTTGTATTCAGAGCAGGACTTGAGAGTGGAACTTCGAAAGTAGGTTTCATATAGCCATTTTCCGCCATCACGTGTTACGCGAGACCTGTTTCACTCAGAGGGTGCGGGAAAGAGCCAAATAGAACACAGAGTACCACCTGACAATTTCATATTTTCCTATGAACGCCATGTATAAGAATGACATATTTATGACTTTTTCGCATTTCCGATGAGCAACGAATTCTCAAATTTATTGACCGGGGATCATAGCCTGTTGGCTTACGAGGCTCAAACAGTATATAAAGAGGGACCACAACCCTTCAAGTCACAGTCCAGCGCCAGATCCAGATCAAATTACTACTTCGACATTTCGTTCTTGCATCCACAGTCAGAGCATTCATACATGTCACTTGAAAGTCATACAAATATTCTTATATGACTCATCTTTGAAATTGAAGTTTTTCAAGATATATTTTGAATAAATAGAAAGTCTTTCATGACTTCTGATTAAAAAGTCTTGTATGACTTATTTTCAAAAGTAGAATCTTTTGTGATTCATAATTTCAAAGCAACAATTAAAAAGTCTTTTAATGAATAAATAGAATCTTTCATGATTCTTTCTTCAATTGTACCCATCAATTATACAATGTGGTGTAATAATTTTAATGTTGAATTATTTAAATAATCTAAATTTCAAGAATAAATAAGTTTAATCCATCGACGACATTTCTCACGTAAGTCATAAATTATATTTATTGTAAACTTATTTTAATCGGATAAAAATATAAATTGCTGAAATTATAAAAATTTGAAACCTCACTGAAAACAAAAAATACTTGAATTGAGTATAAAATATACTTGAATCCAGTATATTTTATACTCATTTTAAGTATATTTTTTCCGTGCTTGTGAATCCTTTCGAAATCATCTTTCCGTCCGCACTATTAACCGTAAAGTTCAACTCAAAACAACGAGTTAATAATGGGAAATTTATGCACATTTATCAAAAGATTTTTTATTAATTAATTGTCAATCAATTAAATTTCGAACATTAATTTCAATTAATTGTTTCTAATAAATTTTCTCATTGAGATTAAATACTAAATTCTGGAGGTTATTCATAAAAACTCATTTTTCGGGTCATTTTTGTTCATTACGGACCTAGTTATTGTCAAGGTTTCGTCCCTTCCAACATAATAAGAATAAGAAACTTAATTTCAGAAAAAACATGTAAAATACCGAATTGAAAACTTACTTATTTCAAATGACAAAAATTTTCACCTCAAGAACGGTTGAGTTTTTTAAGTTAGAACTTTTGTGTTCTTATACTAACAACATTCTGAAATAATATTCTTGATTCAAGCAAATTAAATTTTTGGATTTAAAAATACGAAATTTATGAATTCCAGACCCAAGGTTTCCTTCAAATGAGAGGAAATACGCCTCATTTCCGGGATTTTTTGCTCCCTACACGGAGAGGAAAATTCAATAAAAGTTACCAGAAAAAAACGTAAAAATTACGTTTCGAAACATAATCCACGAGCAAAGTAAAATTCAATAAAAAGTGTGAGTCGGAACTGAAATTGTACGAATCGCCACGTAAATTCTACTATTTTTCCGTAAAAATTAACCACCAGTCTGACGACTCACCGCTGTGAAGACAACAAGTCGTTCCGTAATTTTTCCCCAACGATTGAAACATTTTACGGAACGGAACGTAGAAATAACCCATCAGCTTCATAAAAATTCTTGAACGTTCAACGTTTTGATTTTAGAGGCATAATAAGTCGGGAAGCCCATGCAGGGCAATACAAAGTGGCGGAACATCGGGCCAAACTCGGCGCCGAGTTCCCCGATAATCGGTTGCGATCTTCGGCCAATGTTCGACCGAACGTTGGGATGTTATCACGGGCCATCATAGACACCGATATATCGCCAATATTGGCGTCGATTATGAGGCAACCATCGGTGAAACAAAATTTTAAAATCGTTCATACATATTAGTTCCTATAGTTTATAAACGTTTTATAACCCTTCTTCCCCCTCCACGGGGTTCCCACTTTGTCATTAGTGAGGGGGCTCGGTCGCGGGCGGTGGGGGTCTTAAGGACTACCGCCGCCCGCGGTCGCTAAGAGGAACCCACCCAATCCATGTGTGTGAGCGGCGTGAGCCATGGCCTCGGCCATACCGTGCCTAAGGATGCGTGGCACAGGGGAGCTGTGTCGCTAACAGTGCCTCTCAGAAACCTGGGCGACCTCTGAGAGTAGTCTTGGGTGTAACCCACCCGAGACAAGCCAAGCCCTGGGCAATCGCGGCAATGCACCAGGTGAAAACGCTTAACCGCGGTACTCGTGGGACCAAAAATGGAAACCAATCTAAAAAATCTGAGTATTGAAAAAGAAACTTCGGGTGCGGCCAGCGAGGGCGAACACACGAAGTCTGACAAGGCTGACCAGTCTGGTACCGATGTGAATCGGGTCAGACTGAGTGGAGCCGAGAGAAGGCGTCGCAAGAGAGCGAAGCTGCATCAAACCTCGGGGGCAATTGCAACCTTGGCGGATGCAGCAGCGAATGTCAATGAGGGGAAGGGGGAGGGGGCTGTGAGGAAGGTAATAAAACGCCTTCCATCGGAGCGTACCACGCCAAGCCCCTCAGTCAGACCGAAAGAAAAGAGAATGAGAACGCAGGATCAGGGCACATATGCTCAGAACACTACGAGCTCATTCAAGTTTGCAGTTATGCCGGAGTCATATCCGGATCAGAAACTGGGCACTGAAGAGGTAACAGAGGTGAAGAAACTCCTGAAGGGGACCATTCCGGCGCTACCTGACGGGGTGAAAGCACCCACCTTCAACGGTGTCTGGGAAAGAGAAGGTGTGGCACTGGTGTACTGCACTGATGAGGAAACGGGAAATTGGCTGAAAAGCCTTTTCCCCGAAAACAAAATAGCTGGACTTACTGTACGTGTGGTCGCAGCCTCGGAGCTTCCCAAGAAGCACAGGGTTGTACTACACGTGGAAGACCCAGATCTAACCGCTCAAGAAGCACTGTGCTTCCTTGAGAAACAAAATGCAGGACTGCAGGCCAGAGAGTGGGTTGTCGCTCGGGGCAGTGAGAGTAGGGACGNAGAAGACCCAGATTAACCGCTCAAGAAGCACTGCACTCGGAAAAAAAAAAAACTTTTGCCAAGGAATCATTTTCTTGGGAGAAGAATTTATTTTTTTAGGAGCTTATTCTTCTAGGTCAGTCAGTCCCAGGTGGTCCATGTCCATCTCCAAATATTACAATTATGTTGAATAATGAGATGATTATGCTACATATGACCTTGAATGAACACGCTTCATTATTTTTCAATTTTTTCAAATTCGAAATTTTCTAACGTTTAATAATTTGAAATAATTTTAAAGGTTAATAATTGTCAATGGAGTTCATTCAAGGTCATATGTAATATAATCATTCCATACTTGAACA